CTCTCCCTCTGCTCCTCCCACCACTTGTGCTCTCTCTCTCTAGCTCACTCTCTTTCAAATCAATAAATAAAATCTTAAAAAACAGAGAAAACTCTCCATATCTGAACTTATTTATCTATAAACTGGGAATCATTCATTTTCTTACAGTTTTTTTGTAAGGTTCAAACGTATGAGGTTGTGTTTTAAAAGTACAAAGCATGATATATGCCCACGTGTGTAGAGTGTTAGAACCCAATAGTATATATTGCAGACACATTGATATGAAGTATTAGATTTCTTTGGACCTTAGATCAGTGATCTCATGATAGGCATCTTACCATACTGATCCAAATATAAAAACACTTATGATCATCATTAGCATGAAAAATGTTTATTAAATATTTATTAAATTTCCATTTTTGTTGTGTGTTGGTCCTTGTAGCCTGGGTGATTATTTGTCTTCGAAAATAGCAAAGAGTTATGTGACCAGGAATCCTACTCCTACTTAGGTACACCTATTGCTAATGTCTTAGGAAATGCTCTCTCACTTCCAGGTTCTGTAGGTGATAGCTCACTTCACATCCCAAATTTCTGAATTCTGAAAAGCCACAGAAATTTCCAGTTTCCATTAAAGTTTTGTCCTGTGCTTTTATTTTTTTTATTTTTTTTTTAAAGATTTTATTTATTTATTTGAGACAGACAGAATGAGAGAGAGAGAGAGCATATGAGAGGGGGGAGGGTCAGAGGGAGAAGCAGGCTCCCCGCCGAGCAGAGAGCCCGATGCGGGACTCGATCCAGGGACTCCAGGATCACGACCTGAGCCGAAGGCAGTCGCTCAACCAACTGAGCCACCTAGGCACCCTGTCCTGTGCTTTTATTAATCAAGGCTGTTGTTAGTACAGTGCATAATTTTATCCTCAAAGGTGAAATCTGGCCAAAATATAGATGGGAATAATTCAGTAAGAATTTTATTCCAACTACTTTAGCCCTTTGTCTATAATTATCTGGGCCATATATTCAGAGCATGGTTTTCTACTTTGGGTTACGTATTATTGAGTCAGGGACTTCTTGTTAAATGAACGGTGTTTTGGGGTTCTTAGCAAGTCCTCCCGAGGCGCTCCTAGTAGACCGTTTCACTCAGTTCCACAGCTCAGAAAGGAGTTCCAGCTTCATCCCTTCCTCCTCCTTACCCCCCAGCCCCAGAAGGGAACTTGGACTTCTGGTGTTTAAAGACAAACATACCAACTGTGCTCCAGTAATAGACACCTGCATAAAGACATAAAAGAGTCCTTGGTTCAAATAGTTAGTTTTACATTCTTGGCCAGTTGTAGAACCGCACCCCACCCCCCGCCCCCCGGGCTGGGGCTTGGGCTGGGGGAAATCGAGAAAGACTTGAGGTGATAGCACGTTTCAGATGAAGCATGCGCACACAGCCTGTCTTACTGGGCTTACAACCTCTCCAGCAACAGGAGGGAAGTGACTGCTATGTTAGCATACCCCTAAAACAGATGTGGAGATGGAGGTACAGAGGGGGCAGACCCCAGATGGGTCGATACAGAGAGCCCCTGGGAGACGGGGGCACCCTGCAAAACCAGGCACTCCCTATCCCCTGCTTCCTGCATCCTGGTCATTAACAATATGACCCGAGTGGAGAGCTAGATTTACTAGAAAAAAGGGGGACAATTGAAACCTCATCAATTAAGCCCAACAAGGAATGCTTCCTCCTTCAAAAACTAAAATGCTTTTGTCGTCAAAAGACCTTTTCATTAAAGCAGTTATGTCAATATGCCATCTGGGCACAAAGAAAAGAGTTCATTTGAATGTACGTAAATGCTATTGGTGTTACAGTTATTCGAACTGTAGGTGACAGTTGTGTTTCAGCCAATGCTGCCTGCATTCCTACTTCTCCAGGTGCCTCTTGGAAACCGGATCATTGTAGCTCAACGTGGCCATTTCCCTAATGAAAAAGGAATTTATGAGGCTGCCTACTTTTGTCAGGCTTCTTACTCAAGAAGAGTTGATCTTACTTTTGTCCTGTTCAACCTATTACTAAATATCGGTTCTGAATAGAAGGTGCTTCTAGAACAGAATTACTTATAGTATGAGTTTTTAAATTTATTTTTCCTGTAGTGCCTTTCAAAGAGCAGATTTTAGCATTCAAAACTCTAGGATGGCTTCCAAATTAGTAATTTGTTTATTTGAACTCTTTCTCCCGAGAAGTTCACAGGTGAGCGTTCTTCCGAGAAGAGAACAGTTTCAAAGTCTAGGATACTTCCTTACTGGAATGACGGTAGCAAGGGAGGCTGGGAGCGGGTCTAGAACAGTCCGGGATGGGAGGAGGGCAAGGACACAGCCTCCCCTGGGATCTGCAGGATCCCGGTTCATTTCAATAAAAATGCGGGAGTGGAAGACTGAGAAATGTTTTTGTCTTGTTATCTTTTTAAACGAATGGACCCTTTTCGAAAGACAAGGAGACCTGTCATCATTGACAATTAGATATTGTGAAAAGTAAAACTCAAAAAAATTCCACACTTGACCAACAATCGCAGGAATGCAGTTATTCACACAGGGTAAAAAAAAGCATTTTTAGTCATCTGATAAAGCATTATAAATGTATGTCATCCATACATATCCTTGGACATGTCCTCTGACACTGGAATTTGAGTTTTATGATCCGCCTGTGTAATTGAAGAGTTTGGTTAAGTTTCTAAGGGAGAGAAAATTAAACACCTTAACAGCCAACACCTTGTTTCTCAGGACATAACCCGAGGCAGATTTTTATGGCTGCACTAGGCTTTTAGTCCCTGGCTGGCACTCTCTTCCTAATTCTCAAACTGCTCCTAGCACTTCCTCTTTATGGTGGGGGGTGGGGGCTGGGCTTCCGGCCACAAGTGCAGACCTGCCGGGCCCAGCTCCCCGCACACTGGCAGCCAGGGCCAGCCCCGGAGGGGGCACAGGGCCTCCAGGTGGCGGGCTGGTGCTGAAGGGGATGAGCCCAGGCCTAGCTGCTGGCCAAATTATAAACTGAAGGAAGTGAGAATGGGAAATACAATCACCATGTCTGAAAAAATAACTAGTCTTTCTTGGTGCCTGACACTCAATGGTGGGCCCGGACGGCTGCTACCAGCTCGCAAGAATCTCCCACACCAGTGATTAAACATAACCATTACTGGTAATTAAATTATGTAAAGACAAAGGTAAGAATACTCAAAGATGATCACGTCCTAATTTGCTTTTACTACATTTTACTATTATCTCTGTCCTGTAGGTGTTTTTTGTTTGTTTTGTTTTTGTTCTTTTTAAGGATTTTATTTATTTACTTAAGAGAGAGTGAGAAAGAGCATAGAGGGAGAGAACGAGAGGGAGAAACTCTCTGCTGAGCGGGAAGCCTGACATGGGGCTCGATCCCAGGATCCCCGGATCATGACCTGAGCTGAAAGCAGACGCCAAATGACTGAGCCACCCAGGCGCCCCAAGAATGCTGCATATTTTCTTATGTGTACGTTGTGTGTCACACATCTTCTACATCGGTAACATTTCTAATAAAGCTATGTATATATATGTATATATTTATATGAAACATATCTCTCTCTCACACACACACACACACACACTACCCCTAAGAGCTGGTTACTAAATATCTATAGCACACCAGGGCAAACCTTGGTGCAGTGTAACTCCAGACTTCTAGGACAGTGAGAGGCTTGAGAAACTTCGTTGACGTCAGCCCAGTTGGAAAAGCTAAAAACCATGGCCTACCTACTTCAAACAGTTTCCATAGGGCATAAAAACAGACCTCCTCCAGTCCATTCGGCAGAATTATGCGCATTTTTTATTTAGCAATAGGGGCACGGATGGATTACATTTGAACACAAGTGCGTTTACATGTTTACATGTAATTACTGGGGAAGTAGAGGCAGATGCTTATATACACCACTGCACACAGCAGGGCTAATCAAACAACCCACAACAAACGAAATTGACAATAAAGAAGCGAAAACAACAGTGAGTTCTAATTTAAAAGCCAGAGAAGCCAGCGATTGTAAAGAATGACCAACTCAAGCCGGCGCTGATAACAAAGTGCTCCTCCCCCAAACTGCAGGAATCCCAACCATGTGGCCTAGGCCACAGAGCTTAGCCCTGGCTCGGGCAGCCAGAGCTCTGGGAAGGAACCAAAGTGGAACTGTCAGGTTATTCCACTCCTGGGCTAATTTTGGTTCGAGAATAATAAACTGTACTGACTCCTAATGACTCACTGCTTAGGTCACAAATCATTAGGCATTAGTCATCTATAAAAATGTAAGTGTCTGGGGGCACCTGGGTGGCTCCGTCGGTTGGGCGTCTGCCTTCGGCTCACGTCATGATCCCAGGGTCCTGGGATCGAGCCCCGCATCGAGCCCCCTGCTCGGCGGGGAGCCCGCTTCTTCCTCTGCTTGTGCTCTCTCTGACAAATAAATAAATAAAATCTTTAAAAAAAAAAAATAATAAGTGTCTGGAAGTGCCTGTCACTTGCACGTGAGGAAGTTCTCCTCTGTTCCTGGCTCAGCACGTGGGCTGTGCATCAAGGGAAGCCCAGGCATCCCACGTCCTAGGGAGCTCTGTGGCATCCCGGACGTTTCACACACGGATGCTCTGTCCCCCAAACGTGACTCAGACTTTGGAGTCTTTGTGCTAAATAAGATCCTTGCTGGTAGTTACTGGCAGTGAGGGAGGCATCTTCGTGCAAGCATCATCTTTGGGTCATCAGAGAGTCAGTCGGGGCTGGGGCCGAGTCAGTCACAGATCGCCTGCGGTCGGCCCGGGGCTTCCCTCCTCTGTAGGTGGATGGAAGGGCTTCCCTCGCTCTGGTCACTCCAAAGGCCTAGATCGGTGCCAGGCACTCAGGCAGACAGGCCCCTATCATCCAAATGAGGGCGGAGCGGCCGGTTATCGCTGCTGGGGAAATCCTGGGTCTGCTTCATGGTGTGCTTTAAAGAGCTTATCTTTCTGTTTATTTGTTCTCCCGATGGAAACAGCGTTGGCCCAGTGACAGACGGCACCCGGAACTGACCCGGCAGCCCGACCTCCTCCGCCTCGGTCCAGGCTTGATTTGGGGGTTAAAGGTGATACTTTTTGAGAAAGGTAGTAAAACATTAATGGTGAGTAAAGTTCCTTCTCTTTTGCCCCTTAAGTTCACTGGGTGATCCTGTTTGCTCTATAAAGTGAACTGTATTTGCCAAGGGTAATTGGAACTCTGCGGCTCGAATGACCTTGATTTCCTCCTGCTGCTGGGCTGTTGTGTGGGGTGAGCGCTGCAAGGTGTTATCACTCTCAATCAAGTCCCCCTGGCAGGACAGATGCTGCAGGTTTTGTGAGAAGCACTGGCCTCGAGACCGGAGTACCCAAAATGTTAGCAAGACACGGACTTCCCAGGGCCTACCCCTCACCTGCAAACTCGCTGACGGTGTGCATCACGCACGGAGGCGCCCAGTGACGTTGAAAGCTGGGGAGTCTGACTCACTTTCATCCTTGAAGGCTCTGATTTTGTTCCCATCTCTTGCCCCCAGACTCTTGGGTGACCTTGGACCGTGCTTTGGATTCGACATCTAGAAATGTGATGTATTTCTTTGTTCGTTGTCTTCCCACTGGAATCGAAGCTCTGTGAGAGCAGGACCTTGGCCTGTTTGTTCATTGCTGCCTTTCCAGGGCTTGGAGCAGAGCAGGTACTCAGTGCCTGTTTGTCAAATGACCAGATGGAGCCCATCACCTGTCCTACACTTGTTGCCCATTGCCTTTGAGGCACTTGCCATCTCCCCGGGCAGACGTGGGTGTTATGCAGCAGTCGTGAAATAACGAGGCAACAGCGTAAGACCAACAGAGCCAGGAGCTAACACATGGGCAAGGCGGGCACGCCTCGGCAGGAAGTCATCGGGCTCGGACGCCCTCCTGGGCCAAGGGCTGAGGTCAGACCGGCGCCTCTGTGTCTGCTGGGCAAAGATCAGGTTGGTGCGGGGTAGGGGCTGGGTGAGCATGAACGAGCAGAAAATACATTCTGGGTTGCCCTAAGGACATGGAGAAAACTGCTAGTTTTAAAAATTGAACTCAATTCTGTCTTAGTTGACTTCAAGAGCATGGTCAAAGTCATTTCTAGCAGATCATACCCTATCTGGTTTGGGGCTGTTCCTTAGTGCCTGGAAACATCTATACCATGCTGGGGCTCTTACAGTTCCATTGTTTGTGGTCCTGAGACTTGGCTTTCCTAAACACAGCCCAGAAGGTCTCCTCTTCCCAACGCTGGGCAGGCTGCTGAGAGGTTGCCCATCCGCGGAAGCACATAGACAAGGTGAGACAAACTTATCAGTCATCACATTTAAAAAAAAAAAAAAAATGTCTCTCAGGACTCCTGGGTGGCTGTCGGTGAAGCGTCCAACTCTTGGTTTCAGCTCAGGCCGTGATCTCAGGGTCGTGAGATCGAGCCCCGCGTGGGGCTCTGCACTCAGCTCGGAGTCTGCTTGGGATTCGCTCTCTCCCTCTCCCTCCGCCCCTCCCCCTGCTCTCTCTCTGTCTCTCTCTCTCTGAAATAAACAAATAAAATATTTAAAAATAAATAAACAAAATTTAAAAATGTCTCTCACAGTGAGTATCCAAGATGGGAGCGTCTCCTGGGCCCAGGCAGGAGGCCGTTTGCTTACACGGGGCCTGAGGTTCGAAGGCAGAAAAGCACGCGCACCTCAGCAGTCACAGCTGGCGCCTGGGCGAAACTCTCTGTCTCCGCGCAGGCTGTTCACGGAGGCCTGGAGGCGCGGCGGAGACCTGGAGCAGCCAGCGGCCGGGCTCGGACAGCAGCTGTTCCGCAGCGGGCCCTCGGGAAGCCTGTCCCCGACGCCCCGTGTCACGCTCCGCGCGGTCTCAGACGGCAGCGTGTGCCGCCGCTGTTCGCGCTGTGATAAAAGGCCCCCCGCGAGATGACCGAGGCTCCCAGGAGGGGCCACAGGAATCCCTGAAGCAGACAAACTGATATTCCACGCCTTGCACCATCTCTGACGAGTTAGGTTTATCCTTGGCCCAGAGAGGTGGCTGCACGGCATTTGGCAGCAATCGGGCCAAGTTCTTATTTTCCAAAATATAAAAATCAAAACCACGTCCTTGAGGCAAATAACAAATCCTTCAGGATCATGATTACCCAATTTGGCTGTTTACTTTAATCAAATCACAAACTAATGATCGAATTTGGATTGGATTATGGGCCTATAAAGATAACCAAGGATCCACCGGATGTGACTGTCAGTCAAAGCCTTTTCAGACAATAGCTAGCGTTACAACATGCCAATTACATTTTTATCAGGTAGTTAAGATAATTACCTGTGGTAAATGTGTTAGCGGGACAAGTATAGATTGCTGTAAACATTTGCTGACCACTTTAAAATGCTGCCCGACCGTTCGGGAGGAATCAAGGGTACAATAGTATGCAGATGTATTTACACCAGCTGATGTCATATAAAATCCCATAAAGTTTTTCCCCCCGAAGCCTGTGTGTCCTTTTGCCACCACAAGATGGCTCTGTACCGTTTCTTCTCGGAAGCAACATGGGCTCCAGAGCCAATTCCCGTTTGTGAAGCATCGCAAGCCCTTGGGTGGGCTATCATCAAAACTGGACAGGCATCTTGAACCAGTGACTTCAGCCCCCTTCCTGGGCCAGGGAAGCCTCCTCATCCCTCCCTCTCTCTCAAGTCTCTGATGCCCTGGGCTTTCTTCCAAATGCTGGATCCATGTGTCCAAATGAGGGTGCATTGCCTGACATTCTCCCCCACATGCAATGCTGGTGAAACTGTATACAATTTTTAATATGCGACTTATTCCTTTGGCTCTTTGTGTTAAGATGATTCTTTTCCCAACCTCCCAAACTTAATGTGATTCAATTCTTGCTTTGTCAGGAATGTTAGCCGCATCCCCATTCCTTCATCTCCTATTCCTAGATGGTGCCAACCTCTGCTGGTCCCTTTTTAAGGAAGTCTGGGCATTTATTTCATTATCTCCAAAGCATCTTCTTTTTCTCTCAGCCAATGAGCCTCCAAAATGGTTTTACCGCATTTGATTGTTCTGAGTGTTTACCACATATGAACTCATTAGGCTTCTTGACTCTGCTGAATCAGTTACCAGCCAAATTTCTGCTTTGCAGCATCCAAAATTTTCTTGCTACAATCTTGTCTCTTCTTCTTTTGTCCTTCTGGGATAATATGCTTTTTGGGAAAATGTCCATTCAGTCTTTTTATTAGGGTGTCAGAAGCAAGCCATCAATGCTCATACTTCATCCACCATCTTTATTAAGAAGCCCAAAGTGAGCCCTCTGCATGTAGGTGCTCATGTTCTTATGTACTTATCACAAGAACCTTGTACTGTCAATGTCCCCATTTTTCAGATGAGGAGACTGAGGCACAGAAGAGTCGAATAACTTGCTCAAGTCCACCCAGCTAGGAAGTGGAGAGGGAGCTAGAACTAATTCCAGGCAGCCTGACTTCAGCATTATGTCTGGAAGAAATAGAAGAACCGACTGACAGGCTATTTAAGAATTGGTCAGACCCCAGGTACACTGTGGGCGTGCTCGTGCGTGTACAGGCATGTGTGCACGTGCACACACACTGTACCCCACTGGGTGCACCGCACTGGTGAGAGAAGGATCCGGCCAGTATGTGATAGCTGAACACATGACACTTGACACTGGACACGTGGGGTGATGGCAGTTGGTTTGTCACCTATAGTCACTGCGTGGGGGAGGAAGACACAGCATGCCATGAAGGGCCGCGGAGCGGTGCCCCCTGGTTCCCATGGCAGGATATGATTGGTTTGTTTAATTCATGGGCTGGCAAGTAGTTGAAGTTAGGTTGAGGGCTGGGTGGAGTGCAGCGGGGCCGGCTGACAAGGGATCTAGTCGGGTGGGGTGTCCTTCTTGCTGGAGAACATACCTGGTCAGAGTAGGGGAACTTACAGTTAGGTCTTTGGGGACCTGTGAGGCTCGGAGATGTCAAAGCAGCACATGAAATTTTAGGTATTACAACACACACACACACACGCACACACACAATCCTTGCTGTGCACAGTTTCCCCTTGCCTCTTCCCATCAGAAGCTGAGAGTTATTCCCAGTGAAGAGGGTAAAACAGGAGGTCTCTGGATTGGTGGGCATCTAGCACAGTGGAGGGTTGGGGAGACGGAGAGAAAATGTATCTAACAAACTGGGAGATTCCCAGTCTCGTCCTCCGCAAAGCTTCTGGGATTCTAGCAGCCAGAAGCATACCATCCGCAGAAATCTGGCACGCGTAACTAGCTTGAGAGAAAAGCCCTCACAACACCGGGGTTCCCAGTGACATGGTGCAGCTCTCAGTCAGCACCCATGGGCATAGGGAAGCAACTGGTCTTGAATGAAATTTGAGGGGGCAGCCAAGGGTCGTCACGCAGCTGAAGAAACTCTGTAACCTAAGGCAAGGCTCAACAGAAAGGGAAGAACGCAGAGTAGAGACACCAGAATCCAGGCAGGGAGGTGAAGATTTCAAAACCACCATCATTAATATCCTCAAATAGAGAAGAAAAGATACCAGATGCATGAAACAGGAACAGGATGCCGTTTTTTTGTTTTTGTTTTGTTTTGTTTTATTTTTAACAAACCCAGAGAACAAATTTAAAAAATTTTAAAACTTGATAGCAGAAGATATAAAAACATACAGATAGTGTAGAATATTAAGAAAACTCAATAGATAGTTTAGAAAATAAAGGTAGGGAAATATTCCAGAAAATAGAGCAAAAAGCAGAAGAAATGAAAAATAGGAATGAAAAGGTGAGCAATGAGGGCATTGGAGGGCATCATTTAAGAAGCAGTTAGGGAGAGGGACGCCTGGCTGGCTCAGCTGGTTAAGTGTCTGCCTTCA